GGTGCATGCATCCTCCTATGGGTTGTCCCATGCCCCCTCCCCCCAAATTCATCTTGAGGTGTTTGGAGTCAATGTCTTTTATTCATGTATTTAACAGAAGAAGGAAAATCTTCTGATTAAACATACTTTTATTTTTTCCATTATTTGCTCTTTCTTCCTGATATCCAAATGAGATAGGAATTTGAGATACTAGGCTCAAAGGATGTGCCCAGGAACCATTGAAATACAGAAAACATCAATGAACAATTGCAACTCCTCAGCGACCGGCCCTTGGCTGGTGCCCTTGACTTATGCCTTTGTAACATGCAGGCAAGGTGCAGAGGCAGGAAAAACCAGTACAAAACTGTGAGGTTCCACACTGACTCCACCTCTAGTCCAGACCCCAGTAGCTGACCCTCTATAAATACATCCCACACCAATGGGTGGCTCTCTCTCCTTATGGAGATAGCCTGCATTCTCCCTAAATATGTATCTACAAAATAAACTTCTGTCTATACCTTTGGAGCATGCTGAAATTCTTTTCCATCATGTAAGCCAAGAACTCTGCTGATGCTGAGTCAAATTTCCCCTTGTCCCCAAGAGCTCCTTCTCCAGAGACATGTCTTCCTCCATGACACTAATATCCCATCTTTTGTCATTTACCTCCTGTTTTGAGGACCTCCTTTTGAGAATTTCCTTTGCTAATCATGGATTCTCTTGGCTTTCCTTCATCTGGGAATAACTTTGAGCCAAGTATTAAAAGGTAATTAAGGTTAAGTGAAGTCATTATGGAGGATCTTAATCCAATATGACTGGTGTCCTTATAAGAAGAGAAAATGATGACACAAAAGAAAGACAAGACAAGTTATGACAAGCTACAATGAAAAGACACCATCAGAAATCCAATGAGGGGAGCCTCAGAAGAGACCAACTCTGCAGATACCTGGGTCTGGTACTTCCAGCCTCCCAAACTGAGAGACAATAAATGTCTGATGTCTAAGAGTCCTCCCCGCCCTGCAGTCTAGGGAATGGAATCAGGGTGGCCATGCGTGACTAAAACAGCTCCCCAGAGGGGCAGCCTAAGGGGCATCGTGTCCTCACAAGGCTCTTTCTCCCAAGACAGTTTCCCCAGTCTCTTAAAATTGAGAAGATGCTTTTGTTCAAAACCTTTTATCTCGTTTCTGACTTGGAGGTTGAAACTCAGTTAACTAAGGGATGGTAGGTAGTCTGATTAGAGAAGGGACTTCTCTGTGTGTGCCTGGCAGAGGACTGTGGGACTGGATAAAAACTGCTATGTCCAGGGTGGTACTGAGTGTCTTCTGAAAACCCTGAAGGTGTTGAAATGTCTGGAGAAAGTAGGAGAATATGTCTTTACCCCTTGCATGGAGGCTCAGAGACTACTAGAAAGGGCAGGCATTTGGGTGGCAGAAGCAAATTTTAATCCAGAATTAGTAAACTGTAATGAATAACTATTGTTGGGGACCAAGGCAAGAGTGTACCCCTCAGAGCCCCAGCTCCCCCATCTCAAAGGGCATTGTAAGAATATTTGGGAAAAGTGCCCGGTGCAGCCACTATGGAGTTTGTTCTACTCACTCACTCCCTCGTTCACTCTCTCTGTCCACAAAGCCTTAACCAGCTGCGTGCTGCTTTCTCAGCAAAGCACTGAGCAGTGAACAAGACCCACAGTCAATGCCTCCACTGACTCTGCAGTCTGCTGAGGAAAGCAAACATTTCACAAAGTAGTCTACCTTCTGACTTTTCCCTTCCACACCTGCCTTCCTTTTAGAGTTGGGAATATTTGTGCATTGAATTACTTTATCAGTAACCAAAACAACCCAACATCCACCATTCTTGGTTTCTATCACCAGGTGACATCATCCCTATCAAAAACACTGGAAGTGGTACCTATTCAAGTCTAGTACATGCAGAGGATTTTACTGGCCCTCTCAGAAGATGTATCATTGATCACATCCTTAACACCTCCTGCTCATGTAATCTGGACCACATCTTCCCCCCTCCAACAAATTCCTATGTTGAAGTCCTAAGCCCCAGAGTGTGATGGTATGCAGAGACAGAGTCTTTAAAAAAGTAATTGAGGTTAAATGAGGTCAGGAACTTGCCCAAGTGGCTTCTTGATTTGGTTCCCACCAGGACACCAGCAACATTGGCACTACCTTTTGCTGATGTGCTGAGTGGTAATGGTAACAGCGGTGATGTCACCACCGAAGGGCCACAATGGCAGAGCTGTTCTGGTGAGGCGTGTTCCCCGCCCACCTCCCTGTGCTATAACCGATGATCATTGTCCAGGATTTCATCACTGCTCTGACCATTTGGCAGACACAGAAAGGGAACAGTATGGTTTTTCTGTCCCCTTATAATAATGGCACTTTGCATTTGTATAGCACATTTAAGTTATTCAGTGCGTTTTCTTGTCTATTGCTGGGTCTTACCCTAATGAAACAAAACTCCATGTGTTGTATAATTGTCTGTGCCACAGAGACAGTTTAGGAATCGGAGCCAATGGAAGCTGGTGCTGGAAGAGGACCAATGCCCTAAATTGCTTAAAGAATAACAAGTCCCATACAAGTTGCAAATAGAGCCAGCATGATAACTTGGAGATGCAGCTTTTCCTTGGGGAGAAGATACATCTGGAGCAAGCAAATCAATTTAGCACAAGTTGGGGCCCAAAGGAATTCTCATCCACGTTCCAGGGCTCTCTCTGCAGCCTCTTTCTCACTACAGGCTGGTGCCTGGTTTTAGCTTTAGGGAGGGGCAGAGGAGTTGGAGATGGTGAGAGGCAAAGACTGAGTAAAGCAGTCAAGAATAAGAGGGTATTAGGATTTGGTAAGATGGGCTCATTTTGTGGCCCAGAAACATACCTTACAAATGTTTCCTGCTTCTTCAGCAATTTGAAAAAAGGGCAAGAATGAGGATCTGGAAAGGTAAACATCTGGGGGCTTGATAAACAGAATTTGGGGGCTCATCTAGAAGCAAAGTTTGCTCCAAGAAAAACAAGTTGTCCCTGTATTGTCTGAGATGAGTCATCCTGCTGGGCCGACCATCCCCCTGGAAGTGAGGCTCTGACTTCTGCAGTCCACTCTGGCCCCCGTTGGCAAATTATTGCTTTTACTCCAGTTCCATTTAGAAAATGATGGCTCTCTAAATCATACCCTGGGGACAGAGAAAGTGAAAATGCCTCCCCACCTGCGTGGTTGAAGCCTGCCTACCCTTCAACTCTGTGATTCGCAGTCTGGCTGCACATTAGAATCACCCAGGGAGTTGTTAAAATCCCAGGACTCGGGCTGGGCTCCAGACCAATTAAATCAGAAACCACAGGGGTGGGACCCAGGCAACCATATTTTTTAAGCTCCCCGGGTATTTTTAATGTACAGCCAAGGATGGAAACCAGAACTCTAACTACATCCATTAACAATGCTCACCCACAGGGATTGAGGGATGCTCTGTGTGACAAAGTATATCACACCTGCCACTGACCTTTCTTCCGTCTCTTCCATGTGTCCTAATTGCATGCTCAGCAGTGAAAATTCTGCCTCGTGCATTATAGAAATGATAGTCAGTGGGATTATGTGGTTGCTGGTCTCATGTTCATTAATCCATTTATTGAATTAACATACATCAGAATCTGCTAGGCAATGCAGCAGGTACAGAAACAAAGAGGACATGATCCCTGCCTTTGAGATTACAAGTGTGTGATGCATGGGTACAGGCAATCACAATGTACGGCTTCATGTGATCAGGGCTTTGAGGGACTCTCAGGCATGCTGAGAAAAAGCAAACTCTCTTTTAACTGGCCTGAGCATGCCTTCACAAGCAACCTATCACACACACACACACACCCTCAGCACATAATACAGGACTGTATAGATGGTAGGTGCTAAATGGATTCCAGTTGAATGAATGAACGGATTCAGAAGGGTACTCAGCATGTCCCATCAAGGCCAACTCCAGGACTTCTTATCTCCCTCCTACCCTCACCATGTCTAGCTTCCTCTAGGTTTCATCTAATAGAACTCAAAACTTGTGTTTTTTCCCTCTAACTGCCCTTGAAGTTCCAGGGAACACGTCAGTACCTGTGTGCCCTGCACTGGCTGCTCTGCTGGCTGAATTCTTCCCTAAGACAGAAAGACAGAGAGAGAGGTTGATTGTAAGGAATTGGATCACATGATTGTAAAGACTTGGGAAGTCCAGAATCTGCATGGTGGACAGGCTGGAAACCTCAGCAAGAACTGGTGTTACAGTTGATATCTGCTGCAGAATTCCCTCTTGCTCAGGAGAAGTCAGTCTTTTTGTTCTACTAAGGCCTTCAACAGATTGGATGAGGCCCACCCACACTACAGAGGGTGTTGTCAATCAGATATAATCATCCCTGCCAAAACAAGCTGAAATTTAATTGCCCAAAGTAATGGTATTAAGAGGTGGTGGGGCCTTTCAGAGGTGTTTAGGTCAAGAAGGAATTATTGTAGTTTACCCAGAAGGACAAGAATCATGACTGCACCAGTGGGCTATTATATGGCAGAGTTACCCTTTATGTTTTCTGTATTCTGCAAATACTCATCTGCCCTTCTTCTTTCTACCTTGAATTGAAACAGCATGAGACCCTTACCAGAAAGCTGAATGTATGCCAATGCATGCTTTTGGTATTTCTAGCCTCCAAAACCATGAGCCAAAAGAAACCTATTTTCTTTACCAATTATCCAGCCTCAAGTGTTCTGTTACAGCAGAAGAAAATGAACTGAACAGGATGATCTGTTTTATTCAAAATCCACCAATTTAATTGTCAATCTCATCCAAATACCACCACAAAAACATCCAGAATAATGTTTGACCACATATCTGGGCTCCATGGCCTGGCCAAGTTGATACGTAAAATTAACCATCATGAGTGGGGAGGAATCTATATTTCAGGAATCTGTACATTTAATAGTCTACCCAAATGTGTGGAGACCACTCTCAATACTCCATCCTACATTCATGGATAGTTTCAGGGTTTCTCCTCCCACTGCCTCCAGGGCTGATGGACTTCTTCCCTTTCTGAGGCTGGGGGGTCCCAGTTGCACGTTGATCTCAAAGCCAACTTTCTATCAAGCTTGGGGTGGGAAGTTGTTCTCTCCACCCAGGGCCACAGAACAGCAGGATGTGGAGATGTCCCTGGAGCCCAGGGCTCTGCTTCTCCTGGGCTGCCTCCAAAGGAGTTGGCAGCTGGCCACAGTGCCTACTTCCTGTCAGCTTCTCTTGGTTGAAGCTCTTCTTTTCCTTTCTCCCTCAACAGATCTAACTCTCCACACCACAGGGAGCTTTTCTGGGAGCTGCTTATGAATCACCAGAACATCCACCAGACATTCCAATCATCCATCATGGTCTCCCTACCCTGGCTACCCATGGGACTTTTTCAAAATACCGATACCTAGATCCTTCCAAGACTTCCTGGAACAGAACTTGCTGGATGTGGGTCTTCAGCAGATGTGTGTTGAAAATGCTCCACAAGGGACTCTAATGTACAAAAGACTAGACACTACCAGGTCCACTAAGGACACATAGAAAAGAATGGCAGGCTCTGTTGGTTGCCTCCTGGTGCTATGCTAGAAGGTGAATTTCCACAATAAGGACACCAATGTTTCCCTCAAGACTCTTTATATGATTTGCCCTGTAACTGTGTAGCCCCTCCCACTCAGACCCTGGGCACGGTCACATGACTTGCTTCAGCCAACAGAACACTAGTAGATCTGATGCAGACTGAAGCTTGAAAAAAAAAATCTCTTGTGCCTTTCCACTTCTCCTCTATGAAGTAGAAACAAGCCTGGGGTGGCCACAGGAGGTTGAGATGTGGAGCAGAGGCCAATATCCCAGCAGAGGCCAAACTAGATTAGCTAATTTATATATCTGACCACCAGATATACAAATGAGCCCCAGCAGAGACCCGAAGAATGTTCCTCTACCCCTGGCCCAAGCCAAGGCCCACAGAACCAACCAGATGACCCTGGACTCATGAGAAACACAACATGGCATTTGTGGTGAGCTGATTTGATGCCTTACAGTGGTGGCAACAGAAGGAGAGGACCCAGCAGCTATCTAGATAGCAGTGAAAAGCCAGTGCCCTCTTACTTGTTAGGGACTTGTTCGACAAGCCCTTCATGTCCCCTGCTGCAGCCCTGGGAGAGAAGTGAAGTGAGGACAGGCCCAGTCTCTGGCCCCCGCCAGCTTCCGGTTCAGCAACCCCATGACAGCACTGCTATTTACTCAGAGAGGAAAATGTTCCACCTTTCCCTCTGACTAACAAGGAGTCTGCCTCAGAAAGCATCTGAAAATAAATTATACATGAGACATGGTGTCTGAACCAGTTGCAAGTTTTGTTCTAGGATATTTTTACTTTTCTTAAACATTCCCTTCAGGGGTGAACTATCCTACCAAGAAGTTAAAGAGAATTAGAAAGGAGGCTTAAAGGAATCCACTTGGTCCCATCAGTGGTGAATAAAGAATAAGATATGGTCCCTGAGGCCATAGGTGGCTTTCAGGATTTGTATCTTCCCTTTAAAATAGCTGAGCCGTATTCCTGTAGTGGTGGTCCCTAGGGAGTGTGTTTCAAAGAGAACCAATAATTTCCTCCATAATGTGGAGATTTAAAATGTGGGCTGTTGGGCTGGGGTTGTAGCTCAGTGGTACAGCCCTTGTCTAGAACATGTAAGGCACTGGTTCAATCCTCAGCACCACATAAAAATAAATAAAATAAAGTTATATCCATCTATAACTAAAAAAGATAATTAAAAAAATGTGGAGTCTTATCAGATCATCTCTCCTTCAGATCCCAGATCTACCACTTATGAACTGTGAGACCCTGGGACATATACTAACCTCTATACCTCAATTTCCTTAACTGTTCAGTGGGGCCATTAATAGAGACTACTTTTAGGATATTTCTGGGGATTAAAAGAGTTACTATTTTTTTTATAAGATTAGCTCTTTTTATTTTTTTAAAGAGAGAGAGAGAGAATTTTAATATTTATTTTTTAGTTATCGATGGACACAACATCTTTGTTTGTATGTGGTGTTGAGGATCGAACCTGGGCCACACTCATGCCAGGCGAGAGCGCTACCGCTTGAGCCACATCTTGTATTTGGGGCAAAAATGGGAGTTCATAACCCACTTGAATCAAATGTATGAAAGATGATATGTCATGAGCTTTGTAATGTTTTGAACAACCAATAAAAAAAAAAACATGACAAAGCCAAAAGTGTTAAATCTCACTACTAATAAAAAACTGCATGTTTTTATTTTAAAAAAAAAAGAGTTACTACTTTTAAAGATTACAGTAGTCACTCAAGAAATGTAAACAGCTATTATTATTGTCACGGTGTAGAAATACCCCAAGGAAAGAGAATTCTAATCTGGAAGACTTCTCTGCATCAGGGATGGTCTCTCTAGGCATTCCACACAACTGCCTCTGAATTTATGTGTCCCTTTTTACTGAATTATGTCTTGCCTTTAAAATACTCCCTTCCCTCCAGAGCCCTGCAGGAAGACTGTACCAACAGCTTTGAAATCAAGACAATCGCAATCACTTTTGTGGCAAGGAATGCTGTAACTAGAGAGAAGGTGCCATCTTCCCCATTCTTACATAGTTAATGCATGACAAATATTATGCACCAAAGCAACATGGTTTGTTTGTTCTTTCTTTTGTTCTTTCTTTATTTTTCTCAATGAATGCCTACTATCATGCAAGCAGTCTGTTAACTAGGCATTAATTAATTGCATGCTCAAAATGTTACTTTGATTGAAGCAAAATTCACATAATATAAAACTATCCATTTTTTGCTTATAGATTTTTTACTTTATAGCACTTTCTTTTTTTATTTGTTCTAATTAATTATACATGACAGTAGAATGCACTTTGACACATCATACCTAAATGGAGTATAGTTTCTCATTCTTCTGCCTTGAAATTATGGCATTTGCCAGTAAATGGATGGAGCTGGAGAATATACCGTGCTAAGTGAAATAAGCCAATCCCAAAAAACCAAAGTCCAGATATTTTCTCTGTTATGAAGATACTAATTCACAATAAGGGGGGATAGGGCTAGGGAAGAATACAGTTACTTTGCACTAGGTAGAGAGAAGTAAAGGCAGGGGAGGGTATGGAAATAGGAAGGGCAGTAGAATGAATCAGACATTATTAGCCCATGTACATATATGACTACACAACTGGTGTGATTTTACATCATGTACAACCAGAAGAACATGGATCTTTCTTGAAGTTCTGGTTCTGGTATAGAAATGCATTTAGTAGCTCCTACTTAGGTCAAAGAAATTGGGATGGAATTTAAACCCATCTATTTATAAATTTATAGAATCAACAAATGACTGAACTTTGTCATAACATTGCTTTAAAAATAAAGATGTTCCCCCTTATAAAAGTGGCACATGCTAATGATACCAAGTTTACCATTGCTATAGTTTGGACCTTGACAGTTCCCCGAAGGCCCAAGTGTTAAAGGTTTGGTCCCAGGGTGGTGCTATTCAGAGGTGGTGGAACATTTAGAAGATGGGGCCTAACGGGAAGTCCTCAGGTCATGGGGGTGTGCCCTTGAAGGGGATTTCAGGACCCTGTCTCTTCTCTGTCTCTTGTTTCCTGGCTCATGAGGAAACCACTCGGTTCACCCCTCCATGTGCTCCTGCCAGGACATGCTGCCCTTGCTGGAAGCCCAAAGATATGGAGCCACTCAATCTTGAACTCCAGAACCATGAGTCAAAACAACCCTTTTCTCTTTAGATGTTAACTACCTCAGGTCTTCTCCAGTGACAGAAAGCTGACTAATATAGCTATTGCCACAATAATGTTATATAATAACTCACTCCAAAATCCAGTGCCTTAAAACACCAGTCCCTTATACTTGCGCACGTCTAAAGGATCCATGGGCTCACCAGAGCTAGTGGGCATGGCTCTGAGCCCTGGATCTGCTCAGGGGAGCTCCCCATGCCTCTTATCCTCCTCACATCAATGGGTTAGCCATGCGATCATCTCACTGAACAGAACTGACTTTTCACTGTGAAAGTGTCACATCTCTTTCCCGTCGTCCCCTCTGACCACTGCTTTTAGAACCACACTATGGAATTTTTGCAGTGGATGCAGGCAGCTCCTCACAGCTTCACTATATGACCCCTTTCTACCACAGGGGCATGGCTCAAAAGGGCGACAGGCATAGGTGGCCATTAGTGGGAGCACCTGAGGACTTATCACCACTGTGTCCTTTCCAGCATCAAACCTGGAGCACCTGCCCCCTGCTTCTATCCTTCCCAGTGATCTCAACTCCTGATTCTCACTGGCTCCTCCTCCTCTTCCCCCTCCACGTCTCCATAAGAACATTTAATGGGAGAATGAAAAATATCCTCCACGAGACCTTCTTCTACCCATGAATGCCAGAAAAATCTGCAGTGAGACCAGATACATTCTTGGAGAAATTGGGACACGTTGTAGAGAACCCCAGAATTGTCAAGCAAAAAGGGACATCCCCAACTAGACAATAAGGCTGTCCCCCACTTGGGCATGCTCAGTCTAGCTCAAATCATCTCAGAGCCATGAGCTCATCTGACTTGGTCTAAGGAGTGTGCCCATTTCCTAGCCACCCCCCTTCCCTCAGGGCAACCAATGCCAAGGTTTGATCATCACAGCTTAAAGCAAGTTTTTCCTGCCCCTCATTTGGACTTGCACTTCAGCTCCTTCCCTGGAACCATTCCCTCAACTTGCAAATGCAACAGGAGGCCCCTTGGCAGTCTTCGCCCCTCAAGAACCCCTTATGTGCCTAAAAACATCCATCAAACCTTCCACGATGCGTCCCGCTCCCAAACCCGTACTTTATAGCAGCCCACAGACCTTACGACAGGCCCTGGTGGGGACAGCTTTGCACGAAGCAAGTGGCTCTTGCTACAGAAAAAATGAATCATAAGCACAAGTCGACACCAGCATCCTGCAGTTCAGACAATTACCCAAGGAACACATTTTCTGATAATTATAGAGCTAAAAATGGATCCACTTTGAAAATCCCTTCCTTTCTCCAGAGAAAGCTGAGGAGGTGGTTTAACAACAATCAGCTGCTGAGATGCATCACATTCTGGGGTGTTTGGGAGACTAGTTCCAAGAAATTTCTTGGAAGGTACAGTTCCCAGAAGGTAGTGATGCTAACTAGACCCATGAAATCTCCCCACCATCCCCAATTCGTGCCCATAGCTTGGGATTCTCAACTCAGGAGAGACAGGAGGAGACATTTAAAACAAGAGAGACAGGAGGAGGAGGCCCAGGCCATCCCACCTTTGGGATGCTGCTGGAACATCACATGACACTCATCTATGGAAATGAGTGGCGCTGCGGGGAACACCACCAGCCACAGATAATCTCAACCCCCTTCAGCAACAAATGTGGGCATGGGAATATTAAAAAGTGTTTCAGGCAGGAATAAAGGATCAGGACATTAACATTAACATTTAGTATGTATTGAGCACCTATGTGCTGTGCATATATTTTATCTTATTTAGTTTTCCCAACAACTCCTTAAGGGGGTACTGGGATTGCTATCCCCACTGAGAGTCACACTGAGGCACACACCATACATTGCACAGATAATAAGGGCACAGACAGGATGTGTGAGCAGCCAAAGTTTGCAGGCTTTACCCCCACCCTTTGGGTCTGAAGGCTGAGAGAAGATATTAGGAAGATTAAACACAGACTAAAGAAAGGGTTCAGGGCATACACATCGAGGAAAGGAAAGGGCCAGGAGGATCTGTAGGTTGGAGCTCTTCCATGTCAAAACTGAACACAATCTTGAGTTAAATTTGATTTTAAAATTCAGACTGTATGCAGCTAGTAAACATAGTAAAATATGTAAATTTTACTATGTCATGGACACCCCAGAAATGAAGAAATGAAAAGATTACTGACTATCCCAGTGTTCCCAAGAAGAAGGATTTATTTAGATTGCACAAGTGCTTGAAGCAGCACTGATTTGATTCACTTAATAAATATTTATTGGGCATCTTCAATAGGCTACATACTGTTCTACATTCTATGTCACTAGATGTGACAGTGAGCTAAACAAAATCACTGACCTTCCAGAATTGGCATTCTGGTGGAAGGAGACAGAGGACAGGCCCTGTACCTAAATGCATTTGTGAGAACACAGTACAAGAAGTTACCAAATTAAGCTAAAGAGCATGTGAGCTATAGCAAGATGCCAATGGCCAGACGATCAGTAGCACCAACAAGTTGAAATTACATTTAGAGGGGCTGGGGATGTGGCTCAAGTGGTAGCACACTCGCCTGGCATGCGTGCGGCCTGGGTTCGATCCTCAGCACCACATACAAAGATGTTGTGTCCGCCAAAAACTAAAAAATAAACATTAAAATTCTCTCTCTCTCTCTCTCTCTCTCTCTCTCTCTCTCTCTCTCTATCTATCTCTATCTTAAAAAAAAAAAGAAAGAAAGAAATTACATTTAGAAAGGAAAATGGTCAGTGAAAATGGTCTCAGGTATCCAGGGCACAGAGACACAGAGGTGAAGAACTAACAATCGAACTGTAAGAAAACAGACATGCTTCTGACAAGAAAATAAGTAGGAGAAAGATTCCTTGAAGGAATAAAACTGTAGGCATGTGGCTTGTTTCTGCTTCAAGTTAGAAAACCATGAAGCACTAGAAGGAGTGATTATCACCTGAATTCCTGAAGTCAGGGCTTCATGCCCTCTGATGTCTACCCTGAACTACTCTCTCTGGTATTCTCCACTATGATGAGCAGCGATTGTGTTAAATCTCACAGAACCAGTAGTAGTAGCATAGGAGAGGAAGGGCAAAAAAAAAAAAAAAAAAAAAATGGGAAAAGGTTCTTGGAGTACCATGTTTCCTGGAGTAAAATGCCTAGAAACTTATGCAAACTGTATGCAAACGAGCAAAAGGCAATGCTAATTCTTGCATAATTTGCTTGCTCTTGTATCCTTGGCACTGACCTTAGAGAAGTCCAGGACTCTAAGGCTGTGGACAACAGAACCTTGGCAAAGACAGCCACAGGCCACTGTCTGCTGTCTGGCCAGAGCCCAAGACCAGCAATATAGAAGTATGAACAAGGCTACTTAGCATGGATACAGATTGTCACTCTGCCAGAAAATACAGGGAGGAAACAAAAGGAAGCATGGGAGTCTGAGAAACAAACCTTTGATTTTATCTTGATCCAGTCCATGCCACTTACAGGTCAGTCTTAAAGAGCAAACTAGAGACGATGGAAGTGATGGCTGGAACAGGTTATAAGTTGACTACAGCATTATCTAGGAAAGTGATTTACATATTCATGATTCAAATTATATGTTATTTTCTTAATCATTCTTTTTTCCTTGGATCACTAATATTTTCAAATGCATGTCTTATCTGAGCACACGTTCCCACTGTGACATACAAGATGTGGAATTCTAACATGCTGAGCTTCTTAGAAAACATTAAAGGACAAGTAATTAGCTAGAAAAATAATTGGCTTCTTGATTATGTTCTCTCTCCCAATGAAAGGTATCATTACTGAAATCCAAAAAAAAAAAAAAAAAACCATTCAATACCTTGCAAAAAAAAATTTTCCCTTCTGTCAGTGTTGGCCTAGCACTTGGTTTTTTTCTTCTATCCACATAAGTCTCAAAAAACTCCATTTGGGTAGACAGGTGGTTTCCTAGGGCCTATGGTTGTCCACTCAGTACAGAGGTCAGGGAGGTTCTTTGGCTCAAGGACATGGACACTGCTTATTTCACCTGCAAGTTCCTGTTCTCTAAATTTTGCTGACACACCTCCCTAACTAGAGAATGACAGGGTCTGCAGATGGAGTGTGCTAAACACCCAGCTTGAGCTGTGCATACACACGCACACTTGCAGAATGAGTTTAGGGCAGCTGAGGTCTACTGCCCATCCATTCAGAGCAACTCTTTGAATGGCGTGGTTCCCCCTTTAATAATACCTCCCCATTCCACCCCTCCAACACTCCCAATGATCCTGTCAATCAAATTGCAAAGCTGAAAGCTGAATGACAAGCTGAAACCTCAAAAGCAACCCAACATCCCAGTTAAAGACATCCCTAAGTCAGGAGGGAGTGTTCGTGAGCCCAGCACCAGACTGGAACAAAGGCTAGGAGGCAACAGCTGCTGTAAATGCCATCCATCATCATTCAAAAATAAAGACCTTCTAAATCCAACCAGAGGGCACTTGCAAATATCCAGTGTCTTCCTGACATTTTGATTGATGGCCACCCCTTTTAATTAGCTCTTCTTGGTTCTGGTGGTTTCCAAGAACTGATGGCTAGCTCCCACCTCCTCCTCCCAGGCTGCCATTGGCCTTCGCGGGTAGACAGCACGGGGTCAGACACTGAGTCTCACCAGCCTCTTTCATTGGGGATCCCACCCACCACTCTGTAATCCTCCATCCTCCCACATGGAGCACCACACTGACCTTTCGCAGAAGGAAGCAGATGCGCTCGATGTTCCTCAGCCGTTCCCTCTATCAGGATGCACAGGAGAGAAAGGAGATAGGAGGTTAGAGGTCCTGCTGAAAACACTTGAGAAGCCCATACAATCCAACCCAGTAGAGGAAGCAGAACCCACCAGAGATCCTTCCTGGGCACACGGCCCACGGGTTCCCACCCAGTGGCTTTTTCTAACAGAATTTCCATCTTTCTTCCATCTCCTTGTCATAGTCATTTGCTCTAACAGCAAACGGCATGGGCTCAGCATCCCTCCCAGCCCAGCATATTTTTTCCTGCATGTACTCATCAGATGGTCCAACTGCAGAGTGGACGTCACATGCTCACCGAGCATCCTAAAGCCCAGGAAGGATGCCCCGCTTAGGTCACCAAGAGCATAGGTGCACCCATTAATGTTTAAGGCAAATAAGTTCTACCCCCATTGCTTTTTTTTTCTAAAGTGAGTGTACTCGGAGGGAGCAACCTGGCAATGATTAGACATCCACAGTGCCCCCGGACTAAGACTTTTCCAGAAGTCAAGTCCATATTGGAAGCCTGGCTCAAAGCCAAGAGAAGATGTCCTGAGGCTGGGCAGGTGATGCTGCCCACAGCACATGCTAAGTGCTTCCTTTTCCTGCAGTGACTTTCCTGTTTCTGAAGCCACGCTGAACACAGCTGCGGCATCTCCCGGCGCTTCATTACCAAGGTAATTTGGTTGCTGTAGATGTAACGGTAATGAGAGCCTCGTGGATCTGCAGAGGACAGGTGGCTGGGACACTTCAATTTCCCTAATTGAATCATAAATATAGTGATTCCTGTGCAGCCTGTACGCCCAGAGGAAGGAGCCCACATCAGGACAGATTAGTGTCCATGCGTCTAGGAAGATAGGTCACATCCTTCTCAACACACACGTGGGCAAGAGTGCACACACGTGTCCAAAAGAGGCTGCTACAGGGCACACACTAGCTCCTGGATACACTCTCAAGTCAGAGACCCTAAAGGATGACATTTCTCATTACTTCAAAATGACAGGAAAGGAAACCTTGAAAAACAAGGAGCCAAACAGAACACACCTCTTCTGTTCCACCCCCTCTAAGAGGGGGCAGGTCCAACAGAAGCCCAACAATATATGGATCTTTTGGGCATCTAAAATCCAAATGGGAGTTGGGGGTGTGGCTCAGTAGTAGTGTGCTTGCTCAGCATGAGCAAGGCGCTGGGTTCCAGCCCCAGGACTGCAAAAAAGAAAAAGAAAGAGAAGGAGGAGGAGTAAACATCAAATGGGCTGCTTGTCCTCATTGAGAAATGAGATCATCATAGAGATCAGAAAGTATTTGCCACTCAAGTCCTTCCAGGGCCGGAGTCACCAACCAGTGAAGTGCTTTTTCAAACTCTGAGACAGAAAGGCTTCTATGAGGGTTCTTTAGTGTGCGATGAGTTCAATGAGATCTACCAAGCATTTCATTTCCTGCCAGGGAGTAACATTGCAAGAACTGGGAAACATGTCTAATGCTTTTCCATTTAGGGTTTTTATGTTATTTTGTTGTTTTTAATCCTAGATAAGAGTATCTTCCCCTGTGAGATGCTTGGGCTTTGAAAAGCCCTGGCGCCTTAATTAATTTGTTAACCAACTTGAAGTATAGCTATACTAGGAATTTAAAAATTAAAATTAATTAACTAATTTCAAATTAAAAAATAGGGTCGGGGGTGGAACGCAGCGGCAGAGCATTTGCCTAGCATGCAACAGGCTCAGTGCTATTCCTAGAACCACACACACAAAAAAAAAAAAAGAAAGAAAGAAAGAAAAGAAAAAGCAGATCAAATAAATAATGAGCTGAGATCCAGCTATTATGCCACACAACTTCATCTTTCAATATTCATCCCTTTTTATCAACAAATAGTTACTGAAGCCTACTGTGTGCAAGTTCTATTCTCACATTGGCCTTTCATGGAAGCCCCTGGAGCTTAGACCAGTCCTGATTTTCTTTCTTCTGTCTCAACTATGGAACTTGCCATGGTGGACTGGACAAGGGCTCTGCAGAAACACTTCAAGGTTTCACCAACCACCTGAAACCCAGCATGCAATCTCCATGATGGAAGAGTGGAAAGGTCAGGTTTCTTCTTGAAGTAAGCATTGATTCATTCATAAATAAAGCTGTAAGTAAGCTGCTTGCTCTGTGTGTGTGTGTGTGTGTGTGTGTGTGTGTGTGTGTGTTAGGGATAAAACCCGGGGCTTCACAGATGCTAAGCAAGCGTCTACCACTGATCCCAAGCCCCCATAAGCTCCTTTTTGAGTCCAAATGAGAGGTAGGAAAGCAAACTCTCCACTCCCCTGGCATCCCGACATGGAGGTGCCCTCTCTATTAAATTAGAGCTGCTCTGTGCACCTGGTAGATATTGACAAGCCAGGTGTGTGATGTTGGTGCCAAACCCACAACATCCAAAAAAGACATGAGACCCCGGGTGAAACAGTTCCAGGCCCGACCGACCCAAGTTCTCATGGGAGGATGGAGGGTAAGGCCAGCAGATTAAAAACAAAATGGATTTTAATGATTATGACTTTTACGAAAGACACTAAATTTTCAAGTGAATCTTAAAGATACTGTCATGTTTACTTTACACAGTCGACTTCGAAAGGGTTTGGCTCTATTTCGTAGAATCAAAGACTGTGGTGCCAAAGGAGGCCTCAGAGACGACAAAACCAAGCTTCTTAAAGGGACAGCATGGAGTAGTGGTCAGAACACCTAGGGTCAAGACCTGGCTCCTCCACCTATGAGCTGAGTCCTTGGATAAGAAACTCAGCCTTATGAACTAGAGATTGGGGAAATGGGATCCGTCTGGCAGAGCTGCTGCCAGGATTACAGTGATGTATATAAAGCTCCTGGCACAGCAAAGACTCAAAGCAAAATTACAATTCCAGAAGTGACCCTTAACTTGACAGAGGGAGATCTGAAGCTGGATCCCACCACATGTCATTTGGGACCTTCTCAAGAGCAAAACCTTCTTTAGGAGTCCTAAAGCTGAGAAGAGACTTTTTTGTCCCTGTTACTAAAGAATGACACCATAACCTTCCCAGGTTAAAATGGAATCACGCTGGTAGAGACCCCGGTTCTCTCTACAGTTTCTGACTGAAAACTCAGCAGAGCTACTCAGACACACGAAAACTCATCCTCACACTGGAAACCATGGCTGGAAGGATCTTCAAACACAGAGCCAGTGAATCTGGATTAAGAGACACAGTGCATGCTCCCTTCTTTGAAGGCAGCAGTGCTGGTCTGGAATACATTTGGAAAAGGTTCTGGCCACATGCTCTTGATCCTTAGCTCTGGGACATGGGCTTCACTGACCAGAGAAGCAAACAGCCAAGACCCATGGCCACCTGACAGAAATGACATCTCCCCTTCTCCCTGCCCCAGGCCTCTTTTTCCACATTCATGCAGATGCTCCCAATTGAAGGCACAGCCGGGGCACAGGGAGGGGGGGCATGCAGGGCCTGGCAAGCAAATCAAGCAGGAAGACTCTGGAAGCTCTCTGTGCTTTGGCAGGGTGTCTTCCCAGCCCTGAACGAAACCAGACTGAGTCTGATTCCCCAGTGGGAGGTGAGCTGACCTCAGGCCACAGAATCACCTGACGTGAATTCCCTCCTGGTGATGGGGGTGGGGCTAGGAGCTCCATGTATTAGCCCACCCTCCATAAGAAACTGGCACCCACCTCCATCAGGGGACACTCATTCATGGCGTCACATAAACTGCAGACATGCTAGCCGACATGGAGCCTCTTTCTTGGGTCAAAGATGAGGAACCAAAAAAGACTAACGCCAGCAGCCACAACACAGCAGACCCTCCCCCTGAGTTATGGGGACAGTCACACTCAGTTAACATGATATCTCAGCAACCTCAAGAGCAAGAAGGCTCCTCAACAGCCTGAAGCCAGGCACAGAGGCAGAGTCAGAGCAAGTGGGTTCTTTACTTATTCTGCCATCAAAACCCTCAGCCTCCTGCACGAGTCCTGGGTGGCCTATGGTGACACCACCTTTTCTGGTCAGCAGAACCTGCAACTTACCGCATGAACAGGGTTGCACTGATCGATGGGGCTTTTAAAGTCCGTCCTTAACTCATCAAAGGCAATGATCTGGAACAGAACAGAGAACCAAGATGTTAGTACACAGGGAAGTTGATGCACCACCCCAAAAGCTTCCTGGAGTTGTGTTTCCACGTAACACCGAAGGCAGGAAGTGGGCCCAGGCAACCAACTCAAGACTGGCCAGGAGTTGGTCACTGTTGAAGCTGGGAATGTGCACGTGAGGGTGATTATCTTCTTTCATCTACTGTATATGTTTAAAAAATTCCCAAATAAACTTTTTTTTTGGTTTCCTGTTCTTTGCAAAGATGTAGAGCAACTCTACCCTGGTGGGGTCACCTTAGGATTTTAATAAAGGCACAAAAATTCAAACAAGTACTTTCAGCTCTTCCCAGGAAGGGATGTTTATTTTATTTTATTTTTTTATTTTTGTGTATTTGGCCAGAGATGCTAATTAGAAGTAAAAGGGAAAGAGGGGGCACAATGGAGCAGAGATGATAAGAAGAAAAAGAACCGTGTCTCCAGATAACCGTTCACAGAGGGACAGTCAGCTCCTGGGTAGTCTACGCTTCACAGCTTAGTCCTTCAGACTTTGACCCTGAAGTTCATTCTGAACAGAAACCTCAGAACTCCCCCAAGAGAGCAATGGTTTCTCCATGTGTCTGGAGGGGAAATGATGGAGGGAAGCTTCTCCAGTCATACAATAAGGCATGACCCATCCAGGTACTAGGCTCTCAAACCCACATCCTCACCCCACCCTCCTTGTCTGCAGCACAAATGACAGAAAAAAAGTGGTACTTGGCCAGGGCAGTGTCCTCTCAGAGTGTGGAGGACTTAACTATGCTCAGCAAAGTCTCTCCACTGCTATCATTTGGATCTGAAGTGTCCCCCAAAGGCCTACACCATAAAGGCTTGGTCTCCAGCTTGTGGTGCTATTGGGAGGTGGTAGGACCTCCTGGGAGAAGTCAGATCCTTGAAGGGAATATTAGACCCCAGACCCTTCTGGTCTGGGTTTTGTTTTTGTTTGTCTTTTGCTTTCTTTCTTCCTGGCCACCATGAAATAAACAAGCCTCCTCCACCACATGCTGCTACCATGATATACTGTGTTGCTACAGGCCCCCAAGCAATAGACCAACCAACATGAACTGAAACTCCTGAAATCAGAAGCTCAAATAAAACTTTCCTCCTTAAAAGTTGTTTATCTCAGATATTTTGTCACAATGACATAAAGCTAACTAACAAGCCAGGTTCAGTGGCACATGCCTGAAATCCCAGCAGCTCTGGAGTCTGAGACAGGAGGATTACAGGTTTAAAGCCAGCCTCAGCAACTTAGCAAGGCCCTGTCTCTAAATAAAATATTAAAAGAGATGGGGAGGTGGCTCAGTGGTGAAGCGCCCCTGGGTTCAATCCTTGGTATGGGGGGGAAAAAGCAAGCTGACTAACATATCTACTGAACATAAATGGGCAAAACCAACTAAGGCACATCCTGGGGGGATTTCTGAACACATGGCAGAGCTGCTGAAGCCAGGAAGCCGGCTGGACACCCCCGAGTGTCACCAACCCAGCCACATGAGGCTGAGAGTAGCAAGTAAGGGAAAGCAATTTCCCTCTTCAAAGCAAGTATAATTTTAAAGCAGTCATAGGTCATCCTGATTTCAATGTGTCCACAGAAAGAGGAAAATGCCAGTGCGAATTGTATTCAAGACCCATTTCTATAGCATCCCTTGTCGGTTAATTGCCCATCCTAGACTTCGGCTCTTTGGTAGCAAGAAACTCACCTCTTCCTGAGGATGCTCATTTCATGTCTTGCTCCCTCAACTGGACATAGGACCCCCTAACACTTCCAACCACAGTCAGAGGCAGGGGTCAGCCAATTACAGTCTGCAGGCCAAACCCAGCTCACAACCTGCTTCTGTATGAATCTGAGCTAAGAATGGTTTCACATTTTTAAGAGTCGAAAAAAGAAATCAAAAGAAGATTTTGTGATGTGAAAATTACATTAAATTCAAACCTCAGAGTCCGTAGAAAGTTTGATTGGAACTCAGCCACATTTATTCTTTAATCTCTATTGCTTTTGCTCTGCAGTGACAGAGTTCAGGCTCTATGGCCTGTCTTGCTTTTTATAGGAAAACACTTGCCGGCCCCTGGTCTATTCTTTCATTTGCCCTCTAAAGTTTTTGCCCAGTCTAATACAGTAGCCACAAGCCACATTTTTACTGATTAAAATTAAATTAAAAATTCAGTTTGTCATCATGTTTTAGGCATAATAGCTATTCAGTGTCACAGGTATAAGACATTTCAGTCCCTGCAGAAAACGCCATTGGACAGAGGCACACAGAATGGGTCAAATGCTCTTTCACATAGAACCCCTTCAAGTATTGTCAGCTAACTGTGGTCCAAGCACAATTTTCTTTCCCAAGATAAATCTCTCTAACCATTATTTACACAAATTAGTGCTAAATTGCCTTCCACTGACATGACAGGTTTCAAATGTCCCTACTAAAATGTGACTATCAGAACCATATCCAAGGTGAGGTTGGCTGGCACAGAAGAGTAACAGCATCACTCACCTCCTCTGCTTTGAAACCTAGGTCTCTGTTAATGCAGCCTCACCATATTAGCTGTGTGTGTGTGTGTGTGTGTGTGTGTGTGTTTATATCCCATCCCTGGCTTTATACTAAATTTACAATGCCTAAAAACTCTGAGTCTTTTTTCATGTGCATGAGTTAAACTCAGTTTCCCTTGTTTTGTAGGATTCAGGATTCAGGAGCCTAAGAAAAGGAACTGATCTGTATCCAGACTCACCCCTCCCTACTCAGTTCAGTCCAGAAGACCAATCTTTTGAGACACAATCTGTCTCCCAACCACCATCCTAATAGCCATGAGGTCCTCAATATCCACATCCTCATTCCCCCTGGTGTCAATGTAAACCAAGCAGGACCAAGGACAGAGCCCCAAGCATGTCATCCCAATTCCTGCAAGACTGCCATCCGCACTCCTTGGGCTATTACTCATCCAGTTATAAGACAGTCCACCATATTTTCATCCAGTCACTGAAAGCAAGTCTCTGAACAGCTGCCGAACCCTATAACTGTTAGTGCACCAGAGGTAAGCTCCCCCAGAGAGGCTGGGCGCCGCACGGTGGCTGTGACTGAAGACACACCCACACGACTCCTATCCCAGTCCTGTGCCTGTGCCCGGGTCCCTGTGTGAGTGCATACAGGTGGGTCTGGACTAAATAGAGAAAGGTAGCTGGTGCTTAAAGCAGAGAGAGAGGAGGTACTGAGGATTCTGGGCCGCTTGTACATCCTGGGAGCAAACAGCCATTCGGTTCCTTACCTGACCAGGAGGAGCAGAGAAAGAAAGGCCAGAAATGTCTCTCTCCCTGTGGACTCCAATCGGGTAAGGGCCCTTCCTGGGTGCCTTCTGGTGGTGGTGAGGACAATGGCAGGACACAGTCTCAGCATCGCATCCCAGCATCTATCCCTAACCAACCCCTGTCACTTGATGAGCATCGTCTATACCCAATCCCTAGGCTGGTGAGTCACTGGAGACATGAAAATCCACAAGACATGGCTCCAACCCTCATCGAGTTCCTGATACAGAGTGGGAGAGGAGCGTGTCAACAGGTAGTCCTATGACAATGTGATTAGGGATAGAATCAAGATGACTATAATCACAGCTGCCATTTATCACACGCTCACCACGTCAGGTGTGGGGCTACACGTGATTTATATCATTTAATCCTTTGGCCACGTCATGGGTTTTGTGTGTGTGTGTGTTTGGGACTATTGTCCCCATCTTAGAAAAGAAGAAATGGAGGAGGCTGAACGTGGTTAAATGATTTGACCACGATCCCAGCTCTGGTGCCAGGATTCAAAGCAAGGCCTCATTGACACGAAAGCCCAAGCAGTTATTGTCCTGTCTCCCAATGCATACAGCAAGGAGAAGAGAAGCCCTCTAAGCACACAGAGAATGAGCAGCCAACCCCATGTTATGGTTTGGATGTGGTGAGGTGCCCCCCAAAAGCTCATGTGTGAGACAATGCAAGGAGGGTCAGAGGATAAAGGATTGGGTTGTCAGAGTCTCAACCTAATCAATGAATTGATCCCTGATGGGATTAATTGGGTGGTGGCTGGAGGCAGGTGGGTATGGCCGGAGGAAGCTGTTCATTAGGGGGATGGCTGAGAGTGGATATTCTGTATCTGGAGAGTGGAGTCTTTCTCTGCTCTCTGATCACCATGTGAGCTGCTTCCCTCTGTCACACTCTTCCACCATGATGTTCTGCCTCACCTTGAGCCCCAAGAAATGGAGCCGGCCTTCTATGGACTAAGACCTCTGAAACTGTGAGCCCTCAAATAAACTTTTCCTTCTCTACAATTGTTCTGGTGGGTCTTTTAGTCATGGCGGTGAGAAAGCTGATGAAAACACCCCATAATCCAAGAGCAAGCTGAAGAAGTAAGATGGAAGGTACCCTCTGCTTGGTCCTGTTTCATAGTAGATTCTCTATCCCAACCTCCTGACCTGAGTCTGAGAACAGCAGCCACAGGCAGCACAAGCAGTATCGTCCTTTGGGTGCTGCACACTTCTACCTGGAGCCAAGCCGCCTGCATCAGGGACAGACTGTGAGCAAGATCCAAGTGTGGGCAAGGACTGGTCAGCATGGTTTAATCCAGCTGCACACACAGATTCTCAGTGTGTCCTCTGAGACTCCACTGCACAGTGCAGCCCAGTGATTTTTCGCCGACAGTCATAGGCGAATTCTAACTGCTGATGATCAGACCACTTCAAATCTCACTCTTGTTTTTAAATTTATTTTAAATTTTATTACAGTGAAATTTACTCTTTTTGGTGGAAATTCCCACAAATCTTAACAAATACATAAAACAAATCATATGAACATCTGCATAATCAAGATATAGAGTGGTTCTATCACCCCCCCAAAAAAAAATGCCCTCCTGTTGCCCCTTGGAATCAACTCCTCTCCTGTCCCTAACCCCCAAACCCTTTCAGGGGAACTGCTAATCTGTTCTCTACCTCTATAGTTTTAT